CGTTAAACACGCTAAATTCACTTGATAGAGTTTTGAGGTTGGTGAGAAACGCTTGATGTGTTGAAGTTTATTACTGCCTTCTGCAGCGGTTCAAGATGGCTGCCACAGCCAACCTTAAAAAAATGGCTATAATTTAGTCAGTTTTCCAGATGTTGGGCTAAAACTGGGGGTGGTTGTAGCTGAGACTGATCCCCAACATGTATTCTGAACACTAGCAGATTGTATATGATCTTTATTTAAAATTAAAACATTTGCCCTGTTAGCAAAACATTTCCTGAACTGCTGAGCAGATTTGAATGAAACTTCCAGTATACATATTTACAATTAACCCAGGTCAATTCAAAATGGACGCCACAGCCAACTGATCTTCAAAAATACAAAAATGGCTACAATTGTATAAATCTTATAGATAGTGGGTTATAGTGGTTGTAGCTGAGACACAGCACCTATTCAAAGTGATCATCAATGCACATGATGATGCTTAAAACTTCTGCTTTAACTTTAAGAGCTGTTTGTCTGTTAGCGAAATATCTCATAGATCACTGGTGAGACTTTTATGAAACTCAGAAACTAACCGATGGATGTAAATCTACATCTGAAAACCTTTGGAGTCGGTCCAATTCAAGATGGTTGCTACAGCCAATCAATATTATCCAACACAAAAATGATTATATTTGAGTCACCATTACAAATGTGGAGGTGGAAACTGTTGTGGTAGTAGCCGAGTCATTCACCACACATACTCTGAGCACTGATGGATCCTGGGAGATCCAACAAAGTTCAGTCAGGCCATCTGGACATTTTTATTATTATTATTTTAGACATTTCATCCTTAATCCAAAGGACTTCATCAGTACGAGGAGCCACAACAAACAGAGTCCCACAAGCAGCACAACTGCATAGTGGACCAACCAGTTTGCTGGTGATGATATGGTTTCTGTGGCCCGCCCTCTCCCCCGTCAACTCCTCTGAGGCAGCCATAGCAAAAGTGGTTCAAAACATCAAAGTTCATGCTCAATAATCCAGGTAAAAAAAATCCAGCAAAGTTCAGTCAGGTCATCTGTGCAGCTTCTTTTTTTTTTTTTTTTTTTTTGATACGTTTTGTCCTTCATCCAAAGGATTTCATCAGTCCTTTCTATTTCGTTTTTTCTATCAACAGCCAGTTGGTCCACTGTGGGTTTGCTGCTTGTGGGACTCCGTTTGTTTGTGGCTCCTCGGATTGATTAAGTCCTTTGGATGAAGGACGAAACGTCTCAACAAAAAAAAAAAAGAAACCGTCCACATGACCTGACTGAACTTTGTTGGATTTTCTACCTGGATTATTGGGCATATTGGGAGTGGTGGCACAAAGGTTAGAGAAGGTGAGCCTGTGATCGGAAGATCGCTGGTTCAATTCCCGGTACAAACATCAAAATGTGGGTGGAATAGGTGAAACACCCACACCTGCCTCCACCCTCATTTACTCCACTCTGGGCCCTTGAGCAAGGCCCTTAACCCCCACCATCTCCTCTCCTGGCTGACCTAGATAGCAGCTCCCTGCTCCACACAGAGGGCTGTGGTAGCTCGGTGGTTGTTTGTCAGGCGTAAAAACAGTTCCCAAGTCTTCATGCAAGTTGGTTCACTGTGGCGACCCCTGAAGAAGGGAGCAGCTGAAAGAAGAAAAACAATATTGAGCATGAACTTTGAAGATCCTAGGAGATCTTGCATTATTGGGTGAGAGTTGGTGTAGCGGTATTTTCAAGCTTTGACCAAAATGGTTTTAAACTAGGATGATCTTTAAAACCCTGGCGTGAATAATGGAGGGAGATACTGGATCCAGTTTCTTTACATTATGGTGTTCTCATAAGTGTGTGTTCTCACAGCTCATTCCTGCTCTGCAGACTCCACATGGAGCCACTTTTCATGTGGTTCGTTATAAATAGTCCAGATACAAACGAGCTGCAGCAGCTGCAACATCTGCCGAGACATTCTGGTGTCGTTCAGCGAAGACGGCGTTTGGCTCCTGTCGTCACAGAAGCCTCAGCCGGCTGATGGACTGCAGCTAATCGGTGCTGATTGTCAACTTTAAGTCCAGATTTGATTTCAAACTTTCCTGTAAAAAAACAAACAAACTGTTGGTAAAGTTTTGCTGCAGCTGCCGTTTTCGCCTCGTAACTATAAATTTGCAACTTTCCTCTATGTGATGAACCCCTAACCCACGTGCTCTGATTTGTGCTGCTTAGCACCAGCCCAGGAGGACAGCAGCTGACCCGGTTCTGCGCAGGTTGTTTACGACCCAAGAAGAGCGGCTGAGGGCCCCCGTTCCATGGATTTGTTTTGCATCCCTGAGAATGCAGGTCCTGCTGCGCTGCTAATGGGCCAAATCCAAGATTCCTTCCTCCGATTATTTTATTTATTTTCCTGAAGACTTGGATCCCTCCAGCTCGGGACGTCAGAACTCGTGTTCCTGCAGAAGCTGTTGAAAGACCATAAAAATCAAAAATACAAGTTTTGGTGCAGCGGCGGCTTGGCAGGTGAACAGAATCTGTCGATGTTTCAGCTCAACCTGCCGTTCTGACTCCTCAAGGCTTTTACACTGTGGCTGCTTCACTGAAAGCCTAATTTCATTTTTTTTAAAGGCATTTTTTAAATAAAATAATAAATATAATTGGTTTTCAGATTAAGTTCAAGCAAAATATCCACTCAGTTCAGATTTCAACTAACATGTAAATAAAAATCCAACTCTAAGGACTTGTTCTCATCTTAAAATTCACAACTTTATTTCTTTTTCTTGTTTCTTTTGTTGGTTTTATTGTTCTTTTTTTAATTTGTATGAATATACTGTGTGTGCAATTCCCCTGACTAACCTTGTTCTCTTGATGTTTTTTATTTGCAACGTGTTCTGATTTTACAGATAAAGTTTTTGAAGGAATAAAGTGTCTGCTTTTTGTTAGAAATGGCGTGTGTGGAAGATTTTATATGGATGATTTAAAGTATAATTTAAATCTTCATCGAATGCCTTTTGCTTTTTAGTTGCAGGCCATAAAGTATTTATTAGCTGAGTAAATCTGAGGATGCCTCGAGAGTTTGTCTCGTTATTTGATGCACTTTTCCGTCAAAATCAAGGTTAAACAGCTTTATGAAGAAAATACACTTTTGGTTATGTTTGTACAAATACTGACGTTTTGTTTTTAGGTTTATAATAAAAGAAAAAGAAGGCCGAGTAAACTTGAGAAACATAAATTAAATCTTTACTGGTAAGGATTTACCATGAACACTTTGGATCCTGTTCCAGGTTGCTGTGTGGGCCGGCGACAGGGAGGCGGTGTTCATCAGGGAGTACACTTTGATTCGGCGAGATCATCTTTCTGAAGAACCTCCTCAAAAACCGGAAGACCTGGTAAGTTCTTTAATGAAAAGAAAGCAAACGTAACAGTTTTTGAGTCGGTAAACTCTCGAAATGAAACGGACCTCCCTTTTTGTTTCTTTATAATTGATAATAATTAATGTAACTGTCAGATAAAACATGGTTCTGTTAGTGCACGTCACCATGTTTCAGCTCGGTGAATAAATGACTTTGGGAGAGACGGTTGACTTGGCATGATACAAAACAGGGAATCACACATTTAACACTCATAACGTGAGACTACTTCCATCCCAGTCGTCACCTTCCACGAGACACATCCAACATCTCTCCCAGACTTCTCTTGATAATTCTGTCAGGTTTCTCTGAGGGGACGGGTTTGAAAGAATATATTAAAACTGACTGACCGATTTTTGGAGTCATTACCTGAAATGTTTTTTGTACTTATTGTGGAAAATAAATAATTGTTCTAAACTTTAAAAAACAACTCTTAAAAGAAAACCAGAGACATTTCTCTTTTAGCTCAAAACGGAGCGCGAGGTTTATTCTTTCTGCAGAAAGGAGTTGCTGCCTGCGTGGTCAGAACACAACACAGCGCACTGGGTTCTTAAAGAGACAGTACATATTATTTATACATGTTTCGTGCGTCACAATAAAATTCTATCATAATGGGGAGGATAAGTTCCTCAGGTTGACACTATACACAAGTTCTTGTTATCAGTACGAGATGATGTTATTCTTCTTGTTGAAGCCGTGTTCTGTAACAAGTCTTCTATCCATGTGACTAGAACATTCTGAAAAACATTGTGGAACTGGTATTTTTTAATTAGATTTGTAACAGTCTTTTTTCATGAGCTAGAACATTCTGAAAAAGAAAAACATTTTGATACGAAAAGCGTAAAGTTCTGTATCTTTGCCTCTTCTGCGGGTGGTGGAATACAAGGACGTTTGCAGGAGCAGGACAAAAGTTCACATTTACAAGAGTTTACCAGAGTTCACATACACACACCAACTTTGAAAGTCTGCAGAATGAGCATGGATTAAATAATATTTAAACAATACATGTTAGTTTATTAATTTTTTCACAATTTTCCCCCCTTTTGTTCCAAAGGAACAACAAAATAAGAAAACAAAGTGAATAAAAAATATATATATATAAGTATAGACTTTGAAAGGGATAAACATCAAGTTCAGTGCATCACTTGTGGTTTGGCACAGGACCATCATAAACTTCAAATGGAAGTTGCAAGAGCTGTTTTTTTTTGGGTTACAGACCCTGTTTAAAAGCTTATGCGTACAGGTAAGAAACTTCAATTTAATTCAAAACATGAAAATATACAAAGAACATAAAGGAGGGCATACTGTTTTAGTCAAAAAGTATTAACATAAAATATAAAAAGAAGAAAACATAAATTTTTTATTTAAAGCATAAAACCAAAATATGAAAGATTAAAAAATGTCTTTTAGTTCTGGAAATGTTGTCCAGTGTACTCATGGTCTTCTGGTCTAAGCCTAAGAACACAACTTTGGACGACTAAGACTACTAAATCTAGGAATTCTAGTCTAGATGGAATGGGTGAAGTTTCAGTCATCAGGGAGTGTCCGCCTCTGTCAAAGTCAATTACAAAGATGTCATCGGTGCAGGATGTGTCAATCTCAAGAATGGATTGATGTTCTCTAACTGTAAAACGAATTTTCATTTTATCTTAAAACAAAAGTGTTGTAAGAGGAAAATAAAACTAACAACTAAAACGGAAATGTATGCAAAGAATGCAAAAAGTTTCCACTGGTACCGCATGGAGTTCATGATGGTTGTTTGTCTGTTGGGTATCAAACGTCTATCTGTTCTGCCTGCCTGATCAGTTGGAGGGTCTAGGTACCCCGCCGCCCTCACTGTGAGCCTGAGCTCTATCAGTGGGTGGTGAATGTGAGTGGCGTAGATTCCTCGTGGGTATCAAGCCTTTCAGACTCCGATACTTGTTGCACCCGCGGTGGCACCCAGCTCTTAAGCTCTGGTGCTTCTTTTCCTCTGGGCTAGTTCTCGATATCCTGGTTTCCGTCCGGTTGAAGAGGGGCAATGGGGACGCTGCCTCACCTGGTTTTGACGCCAGTGAGTGTGCTGTCCTGGTTCTGTTAGGTTTGGTCGTGGCCTAACAGACCGCTGCCTCAGCTACCCGTTGGTGCTGAGTGACTCTTCGGGCAGTTGCCCTGGTCTTTCCTGTCCTTTGCTCCTTTGGTCTTCTCCTGATGGTGGAGTGATCCCTTTGAACAGCTTACAGTGGGAGGCGTGGACCCAAGTAGTTCTCTCAGCCACCTTCACAGCCGTGTGGGTGGTCAGCAAAACCTGGAATGGTCCAGTCCACCTGGGAGAGTTCCAGCGCCTTCTCCTGAAACATTTAATCATAACAAAGTCTCCAGGAGAAATACAGTTGTAGTGGACTAAGCCTACGTCGAAACCCAGTCTAAGGTCAAAACTCTTGACCTTTAGAACCTTGTGGGACAGAAGCTGTCATTTCATGTATTTGACTCCATAAATACAGGTTCACCCATCCTGAGACTTTCTTTCTTGAAGATTCAAGTGAAAAGAACACTCTCTTTTTATTATCATTACTATCTTACAAATGTTGATAATCAAAGTGTCTTAGTTCAAACCATTTTAGATGTTGCAGTGAACTAATCAATTTTATTAACTGAGTAATGATTTTATTCTCATGTTAAAAGCTGTGCAGAGTAATTATGCATTTTTCTGATTTCTGCTTTTGAATGAGCAAGTGTGTGCGTTTACAAGGTTACAGTCAAACGAAAAACAAGTTGTTATGTTAAAACTGTCATGTTTTAGAATCCTCTCAGACGTAAATAGAGATGTTTTGCACCTGTTTCTTAAGGCACGCCAAAACAGAACCCTCTCGGTCTGTGAGAACATTTCTGAGCTGTCTCATAACAATTCTCGCTGTCTCTAACCTCTTACGTCACAAAAACACACCCCTTCTGGTCGTTTCTGACCAATGAAAAATCCCAAAAAGTGAACCGGGAAAGAGTCTTTAAAATGTCAGTACTTCCTGGTCTACACAGACTCTACAGGAACTCACAGGGACACGGAGAGACACACAGGTACTCAGAGTTGGAGAGTTGTCAGACTTCTAGAGTTCTGGAGTTCTGATGGAGTGCTGTTGGAGTTCCTGACATGACAACGAAGCTCTTCCGAGTTCCATGGGATTATAACATTTTCCACTGAGGTGAGCTGTGGCTGACAGAACCTCGCAGCTACTCCGGACGAGTAACAGCATCCTACGGAGACGCTGAAAGGGTGCGTTAAACGGAATCTCGCCTGAGACATCTCCAGGTAAAAGAGTCGTTTTCACCACCTAAGTGTACTGTGAGGAAAAGCTGAAGAAAGCCCGGAGAGTGCCGTTCTGTTCAACACTCTACCTCAAACACCATCTTTCTCCCCTTTAAACTTCATCTTTCATCTTAAACTTTTCTATCAAGTAGAAATTCTCCCAGATATTTAGAAATGTCTGTGTAAAGTGCTTACCCACATTCATGTGGGTAAAAGATCATAGTTGTACAGTTATAAATGTCTGTTGGTGCAGCAACGGAGAAATCATGGCCGTATGATTTTTCCTGATTGATTGCTTTGTTGTTATTTTCATAATTTGCCAAATTAATGTAAATGTTTGATGTTAAATTTGATTCTGTAAATAAATGACCGCATTCATTTTGATGGGTCAAATTTAAATGACGTCTCACGTTTGCATTTCCTTAAATTCAATGCACGTTTTATTCAGTCCAGAAAAATGAGGAACTCGCGTTAAATGATGAATACATCCCAGCATCTGTTCATCTACAATTGGTGGCCCGTCACGTGCTCATAAATGGACTGTAACTAATGTGCTAATTGATTTTCATGTTGGCATGTGTTATAAAATAACAGTTGAACCGTGCGTCTTTACGCAGCCGGAGCTGCGCGCTTGGAGCTGCACCGCCTGAAGCGAAATGCTGCATGTTTTTAAGCGTGTTGGTCTGTGATGCTCAGAAAGCTCACAGAGAAGCTGAAATTGAGTCACGAGTCTTTATAAAGCTGAATTGTACGTCTGTATGTGTAACTTAAGCTGGCTTTGAGCTGTGGAAACGCTTCATTCTGTTTAAACTGTGTTCCGGACGCTTCTGGTCCGCTTCGGTTCTGTGGTTCCGACTCGGTTCTGGAGCTTCGAGCGAGTTGTTTTAAATAGCTAGAAAGACGTTTTGTCACGGAGCGCCGTTCTCTGTGCAGCTCAGGGGGTTGTTTCGTTACAATTTTTAACAGAAAAAGTGCATTTTGATGGTTTAAAAGACGAAAAAGTGACGAACTATTTTACGCTAATCTAACTTGCTAGCTGGGGAATACGCTTCGTGGTTGGTTGTTTGCTGCTTTGGAAAGCTCTGATTTGCTGAGAACGGTTGACTGTCGTCACCTCCCCTCACCCCTACGCTGCGTCATTGGTTGAGAAAGACCGTGTGTAACGTTCTGATTGGATGAGGGAAGTGTCAATCACGCCACCCGGAAATGAAATTCGTTTTCATAGGGAATAAAATCTGCTTTTTAACGCTGGAAAGCGCATTAAAGCTGTGTTCTGAAACGCTGTTTACATTCTTCGAAACATATTCGCTGAAAGTTCGCCACGTTTGAGTTTAAAGACCGTCATAAAATGATGCTTTTGAACTACGCTAGCGATGCTAAATTTTAGGCTAACAAGCTAATGACCGGGTGGAGGACGTGTCACGTCACTTCCCCCAAGTCGGAAATGAGCTTTACCGTGCTTAAATTCGCTAAATACGGCTGCGATTTTGTTCCACAAAATTCATGTTTCATGATATAAGGTCTGATTGGAAAAATTTTGCCACGTTTGTGTAAAAAATCCGTTCAGAAGTGTTGGTTTTCACCGAAGCAAGCCGATGCTAATTTTAGCTAACAAGCTAACGACCGGACGCCACAGGAAGTTATAGCGCCCCTAGTGGACGACACAAACAGTGTCTGAGTTAAAATAGTTGAGGAT